AATTGGTGAATACAACTTGTATGCACCAACCGAATGATAACCTATGAGCACCATGACTTCACTTCGATCACCCAACTTCTTTCTCAATTGTTCAGGTACATGCCTGAAACACATTGATCCAAAAATTCTAAGATGACTTACATTTGGCTTCGACCCTGTCCAAGCCTCATGTGGTGTCTTTTCTACCATCTTCTTCGTTGGGCTTCTATTTAGAATGTATACTGTTGTCAAAGCTGCTTCAGCCCAAAATCTCTTAGGCATATTCTTAGCTTTCAACATACATCCTGTCATATTCAGTACACTTCTATTCTTTCTCTCATCTATGTCATTATACTGAGGCGTATATGGTGCAATAACCCCATGCTCTATACCTTCCTCATTGTAAAATCTAGCAAATTCAGTAAAAGTATATTCACCACCACCACCATCAGTTCTTAACTTCTTCAATTTGCAGCCACTTTGTTTCTCAGCATGCAACTTGAACTTCTTGAACTGTGTGAATACCTCACACTTCCTCTCAATAAGGTAAATCCACATATGTTTGGTGATTTCATCAATGAAAGTAAGCAAATACATGTTACCTCCATTGGATTTTACTTCAAAGGATCCACACACATCTGAATGAACCAACTCCATTTTTTTCCTTGATCTTATAGGCAAATCACGTTTGAACGCCTTCCTTGCCTTCTTAGCTTTACAACATTCCTCACATATCTAACCACCATTCTTTTCTTATTGAGCATACATAAACTCTTGAAGTTTAGATGTATATATATGTGATGCCATGGCCAATTCTTGTCTTCTTTTGTAATCGAAGCAAGACATTTGTGATCTGATGTGTTGAGTTCAACCCTGAACATTTTATTCTCCACCAATGGTGCTTTTATTATTAGCCTCCCATCAGCCATATATGCCTTCATCTGATTATTCTCCAACTTCATATTGAAGCCTTTTGCAAGTAATTGACATACACTTATCAAGTTACTTGTCATCGAAGGTACATATAGAACTTCAGTGATAGTAGCCTTTCGATCATCCTTCCTTATAATCGAAATATCTCCTTTACCATTTGACTTGATATGCCTGCCATCTGCAAACTTTATCACCTTTTCAGCTGACTCGTTTAACTTGATAAACCAGTTTTTATTGCCAGTCATGTGGTTGCTACATCCTGAATCCAGATAATACATAATGTTTTTCTCAATATTCGACTGAGTGTTCACCAGCAACAACACATCATCAGAGTCACTACTTCCAGCTCATGCATATTGAGCTTCATCACTATCTTTCGACTTTGCAGCTTTCTTTCTTCGATAGTCTCTAACATAGTGGCCAAAACCTTGACAATTGTAACGTTGCACCTCTTTCGTGTCAACTTTCTTCCCAGAATACTTGTTTCCCACACCTTTCAAATCAGTATTCTTGCTTGACTTCTCATCACCAGCAAGATTCTTTCGCTGCTTCGACTTCTCTTTTCCAGGTTTCTTGCTGAATCTTGATTGCAATGCTTGTTCAACTGTCTTCTCTCTTTCTGAGTTTCTCTGCTGCAGCTTCATTTTGTGAGCCTCCAATGAAGCTTGAAGTTCTTCCAACTTCATATCAGATAGATTCTTGGCCTCTTCAATTATTACAACAAAGTAATCAAATATGTAATTAAAGATCTCAATACCTTTTCTATCTTTTGCAGATCTGTTAGCGCTTCACCACACGCCTTAATCAGGTTTGTTAGCGCCACAACTCTTGAGAAATATGCAGAAATAGATTCATCCTCTTCTCATACTACTTCCTCAAAGTCTGCAACTCCACCTTCTTCAGTTTCTCATCTCCACCATACAAGGATTTCAGCTTTTCCCAAGCTTCTTTTGTTGTTTCTTCTTCAATTATCTTCTCAAATACATCATAATCCACACATTGGTGAATCAAGAACAGCGCTTTGCCATCTTTCTTTCTTTGATCTTTGTGCGCAGCTTTCTGGGCTTCCGTTGCATCTACTTTCATTTCTGAAACTCCATCATTCAAGATTTCTACAACATCTTGAAATCTGAAAATAACATTCATTTGTGCCACCCATCGTTGATAGTTTTCACCTTTGAAAACCGGTAAATTTGCTGGAAATTATGTTGATGTTGTTGATCCGTTTACCATTAGATTCTCTCTGAATCGCAAACAAGCTCTTGATACCAATTTGTTGGAACAACGGATTCAAGAAAGATGATTTTGTGAAAACAAGAAGAAAAGAGAGATAAAAAATATGAGTTAATTATGTGTAACTAACTGTCTAACTGATTTGTTATTATTGTTTTACTGCACAAACACAATACCTTTTATATAGGCAAAAATACTCAGACCTAATTACATGCTAAAAGCTCAAATAACTATATAACAAAAATTAATCGACTAACAATTTTGTCAGAGTCACTTTAATTATTATTATATACATGAACATTCACATGTTGTCAGAGTCACTTTAATTATTATTATATACATGAACATTCACATGACAACTTTCATCCTTAAATGTTAGAATAATAACAACCATTTCTATAATACTTTCATGAATAACTATTTTTAAAGCCAATTAGCCTAACAATGTGAATGCAACCTCTCGTACTAATAAGAATTGTTTTAAATAGTTAATTAACCTATACACCATGTTTCATCCATTTATATGTTTTATCAATTTAAAAATATAAAGATTAATATTATTATTATATTTTTAGATAACAATTATATAAAATACTGACTATCATTAAATGATGTGTAGGGTGCAGTCTACATATTCAGCTTTAATCATCACTTTTCCACAAATAAGTTTTGATAGCAACTCCATTAATATCTCTCTCAACCTCCAATATCATTGCTAGCACCGATGATAAAAGAAATAATCAAAACCAAACATGCAATGCAGGAAGGTTAAAAAGCTGAAAAAAGTATGAATCGAAGTTAAAGTTAGTATGCAAGTGACTTGAAAAACATCATCAATGCTTCAAACTTTTTTAGATCTTTTATATCACTGATTTGAAAAACATCATCAATTTTTTTACAGATATAAAAAAACATGACAAATCTAAAACAATAAAAAAATGAAAATAAAGTCACTCACCATGTTACATGACAAATCTCTTACTCTCGACGCCAAGGTAAAGGTTCTGACAGTTGGTCGATGTTGCTCTTTTGTTGTCTTATACCATTTCACCTCTTTCTCTCCAAGATCGTTCATGCACAAAAAATACGGAGGAAAAATTAACAAAAAATTAAGAATAAAAGAGAGAAATAGATCCAGTTATGCTCAATTTTGTTCCTGTGTTCATAATCTAAAATCTATTCAAAACCAAAGAATCACAAGGAGAACAAAAGAGATTGGAAACTAATGCATGAAGAAAATAAAAATAAACTTACTGGAATCAAACCTTAAACCTAAGACCCTTTCCTTTTCAGTCGGTGCTTCCATATTCATTGTCGTTCAAAACCCTAATTCCATCTACCTTTATCTAAAATATCATGAAGATGAAGATATTGTTGATGAAGATGAAGATGAAGATGGAAAAGAAATAAAAGTAGGAAATGATTTTCGGAATCGGGGGAAATGAGAAAGAAGAAGATGGAAGATAAAGAGAAAGAAGTAAAACTATAAAAAAAGTAATATAGCTTAGAAAGTTGGAAAACCAAATTGCAGGTTGATTTGAAATAAGCATCATATCAGGCTTTGGCTTTCACACAGCAGTTGAAATAGCTGAGGAAGCTCTTCCTTGTCCGTAAGAGAAACAAAATTAAATAGTTAAAAATGATGTAAAAGATGTTCTTCCGTAAAAAATGCACTCGTAATTAGTATAACATACTTAAGAAATTCAGAATCTACAAATGTAGTTTAGATCAATCTCTTTTGAATCTAGAAAATAATTCTGATTAATATGCAGCAAAAATATAGTTTATTGGATTTCTTTATACTAGGCTTCTTCGTATTTTATTGCTCTCTCACTCACCTATGAAAAGAATGTAATAATAATGGCTCCAAACTCCATATCAGTTTACATCTCTTTCAAACCAGTTTGGGTCCCACTAAAACATTCCATGTATTTTATAGTTAAGCATGCGGAGTATATACTTATGTATCCATATCCAAATTTATATCCGTTTATTTTAATAGATAATTGCTCATATCCGTTCGTGTTCATATTTATTTTATAGATTTTTACCTATCTATTATTAGTAAATTTTGAAGGTATTCGCTGAAAATTTAGTTAATATTGACTACCCTCATAGTTAAATTGGTTTTAATTAAAAAAATTACTAATAAATTAATTTTATAAAGTAACATGACATATAATGGTCGAATAATGGACTCCTATTTAAATAAACTCAAATTACAAATATCTTTTAAGATATTACAAAGAATATAAGAATGACTTAGCAAAATCTGTATAAAGAAACAATTATAGAGTGTTTGTTTTAAGAATTTATACGAATAAGTTATCCGAAGTAAAAATTGAATATATTTTTGAGAAAAAGGGATATGCATGGCTGACAACTAATCAACCACGTTTATTCCACTACATCATATTTAAAATTTAAAAATATTTTAATAATTTGACAATTTATTATCTTTTCATTAAATGATATTATAAAACTAATTTACAATATCAGTGCATATCTAATATATTCTATATCTTTTTAGAAAAATACTTCGACATATATTTTGATGTTTTTAAAAATATTAATAATTATAATTTTGTTCAAAAAATTTATATAAAACTTCATGAAAATAGACATTTTCAATTTTTTACATGAAAATAAAATTACGAGAATAAGAAAGTTATTGAAAATTGTTTTATGATTTAATAATGTTGTTTCATGAGAATACATCACTCAACAATATCATACTATTAATTTAAAAATTACATGATTATAATTGATTAACAATAGTAAAATTAATTTATACTATTAATACATATTCTATTTTATCTGGTTTCATTTCTCTTATACTAGTATATAATTTTTTTTTATTTTAAACTTACAGTTGGAGAGTGTTGGTGGTGGTGAGTGGTGGAGGTTGAATCGATGTGGAAATCTTGTTCATTTCCAAGACTTGGTCTTGAAATATTAGACTTGTTATGTTTCCTTGTTTCCCTTATTTTAGAGAAATCAAGTGAATAATCAGGTACTTGCCCCTTCTGATCCCAATCCCCAAACTGTGGCACTGATAACCAACCTCCATTTTTCTACATTCACCTTAGGGGTTAATTGAAGAAAAGAGGATAGAAAACAAGGATTTCATAAGTGATTTTGCAAATGGAATAGAAACATGCGATTACAGAGATGATTAGAGGGAGGAGAAGTAACAAACCTTGTTGCGAGAGTCCATAACTGTTTTGAGATCTAATTTAGGTGTGAAAGGGTTTAGAGTTTTGTTAGTTAACAGAGTGAAAACACAGCGAAGCGAGTGGGAGAGGTCCACTTTCTGAGTTTGGGAATTGATGAATGAAGCAGACAAAAAGGTGATCTCACTACTCATTATTTCCATGTTCAATTCAAACCATTGGCCCGTCATCGTGTTTTATCATATCTATGCAACAGAGCTCGATCATACCATTCTTTTAAAAATAAATATATAAATAGTATTTTATACTTATTCAACTCAATTAACAAATATAAATTAAACAACTATTCATTCTATTATTAACTTTATTTATTATTATTAGAAATGTTGCTAACAAAATATAGAGTCAAAAGTATTTTTTTTTAATCAATCAGTATCGATCCACGTAATGAATCGACTGATCTAATTTTGTGATTTAGAGAGGCGACTAAAAATTTTGTAGTATTGAAATATAAATAAAAAATTGATTTCATTAATTTAAATTTAAAATTTTCACATTTAATTACTTAACATTTGCTTTTAAACATTTTGTTATTACATTTAAACAATTGCAATCAAAATCATAAATTAATGTCAAAAAAAATAAAATAGGTAAAGTTAAATATTATTAAATATGTATTAGTCAAAAAATATAGATGTACATCTTTTTTCTGTAAGGATAATAAAATTTAGAAGCTTTAGTAGATTTATAACAAATATATAGTAACGAATGTTAGAAATCCACCAAAATCTATGATGAATTATTACCATTCTTGATGAACAAGATTGACATCACCACACAATGACAATGGAAAATAAGAAAGAAAGGAAGAAAGAAGACAATGATTTTTCTGCAGAGTTTCTCTTTGCCCACAAACAGTGGAAAACTTTATTATTCACTTGCAACTGCAAGTTCTGTGAATATAACTTAATTGACTTGATTACAAAAATAGGGGTTACTCCCTCTATTTATAGATTTAGGTTAGCTTGCTCCCTAAGTCAAAACCCAAAACTATAAAAGCCCAAAATACCTATTTTGGAACTAAATCAAATCTATTTATTTTAGATCTAAATCTAAAACAAATCTGTGTGTAACAAACTGTTTCAACACTTCTAAATCAAATCAAATCTTTTCGACATTTACTTGTCTCTGTCGAGCAAACTGCTTTGATACAAGGAATTGCTTTCAACACACCACCTAGTTCATTGTGTCTAAGCTATCTACACTCAGCATAGCTCTTAGTCTTCAAAATACTTCGACCTGCACACTCTTTGTCATGATGTATGCAATATGATTCTCAGTTCTACAGTGTTTCAAATTCATCTTCCCATCTGCTACCTGCTCTCGAAGATAGTTAAACCTCATTTCGATGTGCTTGCATCGACCATGAGCTATCGACTTCTTCGTCAGATTGATAATTGACATGCTGTCGATCTTCATGGTAATTGCTCCATGATCTTTCCCTGTTATCTCTTTGACCAAGTTCACTATCCAAGTTGCTTGACATGCACAAAGATAAGCAACTATATATTCTGCTTCACATGATGATAATGCCACTACTGGTTCCTTTCTCGAACTCCAAGCAATTGGTGCACCACCTAACATAAACACATATCTTGCTATTGATTTTCGATCTTCAGCATCACTACACCAACTCGAATCAGTGTATCCTACTAACTTACATTCTTTCCCCTTATCAACTGCAGGAACTAAAATTCCATAGTCAAGAGTTTCTTTGAGATACCTTAGTATCCTCTTCGCCGCTACTAGATGTGATACTTTTGACTTCTACATGAATCTACTTACCATACATACACTGTATGCTAAGTCGAGCCTCATATGACAAAGGTATCTTAATGACCCAATAAGTCTTCTGTATTTAGTTGAGTCAACATCAACTTCTTCTGAATCTTTCGACAATTGCAGTCTTGTTTCTGCAGGTGTCAAGTCGAGTTGCATTCATCCATCTCAAATCTCTTGAGAATTTCTTCTGCATATCTTATTTGATGCATCATAAAACATCTACTACTCTTGTAGAATTCGATCCCAAGAAAGTATGAAATGTCACCCAGATCAGACATTTTGAATTCCTTGTTGAGATCCCCTTTGAAGTCTTCGATCTCCTTCTTACAACTACCTATTATTAACAAGTCATCGATATAGATACATAGTATAAGCAATTCACTATTGCTTCTTCTTACATGTACTCCATATTCAGTTGTGCACTTCACAAATTCTTTCTCCCTTAGGAAACTGTCAATCTTCCTATTTCAAGCTCTTGGAGTCTGTTTCAATCTATACAGGACTTTATGCAGCCTGTACACCTTTCTCTCTTCGTCGTGTTTCACAAACCCAACTGGTTGTTTAACATAAACTTCTTTATCTAATGGTTCATTTAGGAATGCACACTTGACGTCCATCTGACATATGTGCCAACTATTTATTTCTCCTAGACCAACAACCAACCTGATTGTTTCGATTCTAGCAACCGGTACAAAAACTTCATCAAAGTCTATTCCTTATTTCTGGAGAAATCCTTTTGCCACGAGCCTTGCTTTGTGTCGAGTTACTTCTCCTTTAGGATTCATCTTCACTTTGTATACCCACTTTACATCAATTGCCTTCTTGTCTTGAGGCAATTCGACAAGTGACCAAGTGTTGTTGTCTTTGATGGACTTCACTTATTCGTTCATTACTCTCACCCACTTCGAATCCTTCAATGCTCAGCTGCATTAGCAGGTTCGACATCTGCATAGAAAGCATAATGTACCAGTTCACCTTCGTTATCAACCACATCTTCTGATGTAATCACACATTCTTGCAACCTTGCAGGCATGCGTCCTAGTCTTTGAGGTCTGCTTGTTCCTGGTTGATCTATAACTGCTGGTTCTTCTTTTTGAACTTCTCTTTTGACTTGAGTTTCTGGTTCTTCAAGTAGGATTCCCGCTGAATATTTCTTGACATTTTCAGTTAAATCCCATTCTTTAAGCTCATCTATGATCACTTCTCTATTGATCACAATCTTCTTGTTCACTGGGTCAAATAACTTGTAACCTCTTGTGGAATGATATCCAACTAGAATCATTTGACTCGACTTGTCATCAAGTTTTCTTCTCAACTGCATGTCTATGTGCAATAGATCCAAATATCTTCAGATGACTCAAGTTAGGATTCACACTAGACCAACATTCTTATGGAGTAATTTCTTCTAGATTTTTTGTCGGACATCTGTTCAATATGTATGTTGCAGTCGACACAACTTCACCTCAAAACTCTTTAGGTAAATTCTTGCCTTTCAACATACTTCTCACCATATTCATGATGGTTCAATTCTTCCTTCCCGCAGTTCCATTTTACTGTGGAGTGTAGGGTGTCACCACCTCATGCATAACACATTCTTTCTCACATAACTTGTCGAAGTCTTTCGACACATATTCTCCACCACCATCAGTTCTCAAAACTTTGAGCTTTCGACCATTTTGTCTTTCGACCATAAATTTAAACTTGGTAAATACCTTGATCACTTCACTTTTCTTCTTGATCAGATAAGTCCATAGTTTTCGACTAAAATCATGTATGAATGTAACAACGTGTTTGTTACCTCCCATCAAATCCACCTGGATTTGTCCACATACATCAGAGTATATAACTTCGAGAATAGACTTTGACCTGCTTCATGCATCTTTGCTGAAGCTATTCTTGTGTTGCTTCGCCTGCACACATTCCTCACACACCTTATTTGGAATGTCAATTTTTGGCAATCCTGAAACCATATTTCTTCTCTTCAAATCTTTGATGTCTCTGAAGTTGAGATGTCCTAATCGATAGTGTCATATCCATTCATCTCTGCTAGCTGCAGTCGAAAGGCACTTGTGCTCCATCACATTAAGTTCAATCTTGAAGATTCTATTTTGAGACATGAGAGCCTTCAAGATTAACCTTTAATTTGCGTTGATGAAACTCATCATCTTGTCTTCAACCGAAACTTTGTAATTCTTTTCGACTAACTTCCCTATACTGAGCAAGTTTCTCTTCATGCCTGGAATATACAGCACATTCGAAATTACTGACCTTTTGCCATCTTTTCTCATAATCAGAACATCTCCAATACCTTCAGCTGCTAGAGTATTGTCATTTGCAAATTTCACCATGTTCTTTATTAAGGGTTTTAGAATGACAAACCAATATTTTATTCCAGACATGTGTGATGAACATCCTAAATCTAAGTATCATTGCTCTTTGAATTTTTCTTCATCTCTTGTTATGACCATCAACAACATCTCTTCTTCATCATACTTTGCGAACTTTGCATCACTTTCTTGATTCTTCCGCTTTTCTTGACAATCACTAGAATAATGACCATACTTCTGACAATTGAAACACTGAATGTGACTCTTGTCAGGTTTTCGACCACCGCCTTTTCCTCTATTTGCAACACCTTCTCTTTGGTTGCCTTGGTATGGTTTTCTCTGATTTGACGCGTTTTCTTCATGCTGATTTCTTCTACCAGTCGAATTGCTGTAACCACCTCTACCTTTGTTGTCAAACCACTTTCTGTTGCCTTTCTTATCTCTTGTTAACTACGCCTGGAAAGACACATCACTCTTGGACTTACCTGCAACCATTTCAACCATTCTTTGTTCATGAGATTCAAGCGTCCGTTGAAGCTCTTCCTTCAACAAAGATGACATGTCCTTCGACTCTTCTATAGCAACTACCACATGGTCGAACTTCGGAGTCAAAGATCTTAAGATCTTTGAAACAACTACTCTTATTGTTAACGTCTCTCTACAAGTTTTAATTTGATTCACTAATTTCGTAACCTTAGTGGAGAAATCAGATATGCTTTCACTATCTTCCATTGAAGCAATTCATACGTTCTTTTGTGAGTTTGTAACCTCACCTCTTTCACTTTTACAGCGCCTCCAAACGATTTCTTTAGAATTTCCCAGGCTTCTTTTGCATATTCAACATCACAGACCTTTTCGAAATTATCTGGGCTGACACATTGGTGAATTATAAAGAGAGCTTTATAATTCTTCTTCTTCTTCGATTCTCTGTATTCTGCTTCTTCTTCTTCTGAAGCGTCTTTATCAAGCGGTTCTAATCCATGTTTCACAAGATCCCAAAGACCTTGAAAACAAAATATAACCTTCATTTGTTTACACCAATTCTCATAGTTATCACCTTT